TTATTAATAAAATATGATATTTTGATCATTTTTATTCATTTTAGTAATAAATGAATATTGGTTATTTCGGAAAATATTATTGATGCTATTTCATATACAAATCCAAGTACTATTCTTGACTGTCGATCTCTCCGAAGTCCGATCACAGTTTTCATCGTGTGTACTAAATCATACGTCTCGAGTCTGCAATAGAGCATCCCATTTGTTTGCTCAATTTTGTATTAGACACAATTGCTGTATGACTTGGTCTATCGTTCCTAACTTCCTCAGAGCAGTAGTCACAGACGAGATGTAATTTTGTTGTTTGCTGAATGAATTTATCTTGAAGTTCAAAAAAATATACATTAGGCTGCATTTGTTTTAGGTGTAAATTTAGTTTTACATCGATAGAAAATGTGAACCAGTTTAGTTGTCGATGGAAATTGGGACCTTAGATTTTAAAAATTTACGCCAACCATGTTTGGTTGTCAAGGTATAAATTCTGTGAAAATTTATGCAAATGAGGAGGGAAGCAGAGGAAGAAGAAGAAGAAAATTGAGGAGGAGAAGAGAAAGAGAGACTGATGGGAGGTGGGTTCAGATTTGCCGCTGCAACGGTGATGATGGAACAGAGAAAGAAAAAAAAATGGGGGAAGAAGAAGAAGGAGAGAGAGAGAGAGAGAGAGAGAGAGAGATCGCCAGTGCCGCTGCCGCCCTGTGTTCAGATCTGTCGCTGCAACCAGTTGCAGCGGTGGTGATGAAACAGAGAAAGAAAAAGAAAAAAGGAACAAGAATAAGAAGAGAAAAGGAGAAGAGAGAGAGAGAGGGAGAGATAAAGAGAAATTGCCAGGGCCCGGCCACCTTGGTTTCAGATTTGCCACTGCAACTGGTTGCAGCGGCAGTGACAAAACAGAGAAGGAAAAAAAGGGGGAAGAAAAAGAAGAAGAGAGAGAGAGGGGGGGAGAAAGAGACGTTAGTTTTACACCTATAATTTTGATGTACATTGATTATCGATGTAAAAAAATTCAAAGATCAGTTTTATACCGATTTATGGTATACACATCTTCCAAACATGTGGAAAATTGAACCGGAGTGTAAAGTTTACCCCGATTCGATTTTCCACCCAAACAAAATGTGGCCTTAATGAATCAAATTTGGATGCTTTTGCAGAGCCCATATGGATCTTACTAAAAGAAGGTTGATATTTTATACCCAAAAGATCAATTTATACAGTGTTTGGTATATGGCTTTCGGTTTATTTGATAGACACTGTCAGGTCATGTTATATGAATATTTGTCCCATCATGTTATTTTGTACATATATTTATCTTATAAATATTTATCTTGATTTATGTGCAAATCAATCATTGAGAAAATTTCATTTTAACGTTTCTCTACCACAGAAATGTTTTATTTACTATTATGCTTATATGATGTTTAATGACGTCTAATATCGTTTAAGTGTCAATAAATACCAAAAAAAATGTTTATCAGCAAATGGCCTAGCGGAAGTTATTATGACTTGATAGGTGAAGTTGGTGGGGCTACTTGCATATTGCATACTTATGGAGCCCAATCGTCAATTTAATTATAGTGCTAATCTTTGGATTTATCGTATATAGAGAGCCTTCCTTCCATAAGTATTTAATAATGGCGTAGCTTTGAACATGCAGGGTAGGTAAGTAAGAATAGTTGGAAGGATTAGGAAAAGTAAGAGAACAGAAAGAAAAAAGAGATGAGCTTTAAGTCATTGTCTGATTCATATAAAGCACATGTCTTTTTGTATTATGTCTCTCTCTCTTTATATATGTGTTTGTGCGCGTGCATGTGTATGATTTGGTGGAGGTATGATTCAATGGTTTTGGATCTCAAATAATTTAACAATAGTATTAAATAGAAGGGAATGGCAAAACAGGAATAAAGCTATGTTTGGGAATGCTTAAATAAGTGTTTATTTGGGTTATTAAACATTTATTGGTATTTGGGAAATAAGTCAAAAAAAAGTATTTATTTTAAAAATAAAGGCTTATTTTAAAACTAAATTTTCAGCTTTTTTTAAATTCTTATACAATAAGCACTTATTTAATTTTTTTTTTCTTTTAAAATTGTCCTTAGTTCTGGTTGAACTTTATAAAAGCACTTTTACAAAAGTACTTTTATAAAAGTATTTTTAAGAAAGTAAAATATAAAAGCACTTTTTATGAAAGTACTTTTAAGAAAGTATTTTTTGAAAACACTTTATAAAAGCACTTTTTATGAAAGTACTTTTACGAAAGCACTTTCAAAGGGTATATTTTAAATTTTTCAAAGAAAATGACGGATAAAATATAAAAGTACTTTTAAGAAAGTACTTTTTTGAAAGCACTTTATAAAAGAACTTTTTATGAAAGTACTTTATAAAAGCACTTTTTATGAAAGTACTTTTACGAAAGCACTTTTGTGAAAGTACTTTATCCATAAAAGTGTTTTCACAAAAAGTTCTTTTATAAAAGTACTTTCAAAGGGTATATTTTAAAATTTTGAAAGAAAATGATGAACAAAATAGTCACAAATGCTTATTTAAGTGCTTATTAAAGAAAAAGACTACCAAACACCCAATATAAAATAAGTGCTTATTTTAAAAAATTTGGGTGCTAAATGCAAATAAGTGCTTATTTGAATAAGCACGTATTCAATAAGCACATATTTTTAACTTAAGCACTCCCAAACATAGCCTAAGTAGTTGAGATGAGGCTTAATTGGTTGGTGGACCAGTTGGGATCTATTCTTGTTCCCATTAGGGTTTGGGGCTCAAGGAGATGGTTTACCCCCTATTGTTCAGCCCACCATCAAATTGCATCTAACAAAAAAAAAATAAGGCTTTGTTGATGATTAATATCTTTTCAATGGCTTCATATAATATTAACCATGGAAGGGGTATTGTAAGCAGTTTGGATCAAGTAGGCATACATAGTTAACACATTGAGTAAATATTTAGAAAAATTTTTTAATTCATATCTAGAGATGTAAATTGGGCCATACCGCCTACGGCCCGGCATGAACTTGGACTGACTCGACATTACAGTCTACAGACCATAATAGGCCTGAGATTTTAGGTCCTTGGGCCGCTGGGCCAGTACCGCACGGCACGACCGAGCGGTGGAAAACAACAGCCCTTCGTAGGAAATACTATTGAGGCTGTTGGAAAACAACAGCCTGGGCTGTTTGGAAACCTTTTTTGCGCATGACACATACCCTACCCCACTTAGTTCCTTATTCGTCTTGTTTACAAACAGAATATTAGCATTGCAAATACTCTCTTACCCCACATTCATGATAACGTGTCATGCACAGGAACCCACATCCATGATAACGTGCCATGCACAGGAAGCTATTAGAGAAGCTATTTCTAAATTGCTAGGCTGGTCCCATACTCCCCTGTCTATAACCAGAAATCCTAAACATGCATCGTAAATCGGGATCTTAATCAAAAAACACAGGCGCCAAGTGGCTAAAATTCTTCCTCCCAAATTGAAATCCCTTGTCATTTCAAAACATTTGTTGCTAACATTAAAGCAAATTAATTTGGTGTTTCTTAGTCGACACCCCTCTTCGAAACAAATTTGTCCAGAAAATCATTTGTTTCTCACAAGAAACGCAAGGTCTAACATAGGTGTTGAAATCCACTCAAAACAAAGTTATAGCAGAGTTATGTCTGGTGTAATGGATTTCAGGGGACACATGAAATCAATTTGATATTAAATCTCTATAGACTAGACACTTAGACAGGAATAGTAAGGGCCACTCTAGTCTACTCACACAGGACAGAATATGGTTGTGGGTGTGTGAATTACATAAGAAGGGTGAAGGGTCCACATCCTTTGTGGTGAGCTGCAATTCATGAGCTGGGAATCTCACACAACACATGGTAGTTGGGGTGAGGTGGGTTCGAATCATCTGTTCGGATGGAGACATAAAGACGCTGGAGGCCACAAGCCCACAAGGGTAACCCCCACATGGTGATGCTCTTTTCGTCGGGGGATTGGTGAATTGGTGTCAAAGAGACCTGTGACAACAGAAGATGTGGATGATTGTTCACAAAATTCCAATTTGACAACACAAAAGTGCAAGTGTCCAACTAAAATATTAGATGGAATCTGTTCAGTCACAGAAGTACTATCCTCTATCTATTGGCACAATGGAAATACCCTTGTCAATCAATTGGCTCCCCTCCTCCTCCTTCCTCTATGCCTTATCACATGGGCCAGAATTTTTCTAGTTGGAGATTTAAATGATTGTCATTTTTCTCGTGGATGCTAGTCTGGGCAGGTGGCCATTAAGGCCCATTAAGGTGCACCATTGCAATTGGGCATTGGAGCCCCCCACATGGTATAGATCATTGAATGCCTTAGATTAAGGTGTACCATTGCAACCCTTTTTGCAATTCTATCGTGGCATGACCACTCAGTACACCTAAGTCTGAATCATCCATGCTAGTAACAACAACAGCCCACCAAAAAATGGCAACTCACAATAATATCAGTACAACCATGAATCAGGAAACAGAAGACCCACTAATTACACTGTCTTGGCAATAAATATGACTAAAGAAGACTCCATGGCACAATAATTAAGCAAGTCTTGAGTCGAGCTACAGAGAGTAGATTTCTGCACTGAGAATCCACAACTCACAGATGGCACCTTCGACAGGATTAGCCTAACTTATACAGCCCATGGCCCCTACTACAATGGTGGTCAAAATCTTGACCTAATGGAATGACTACGACCATTCATCTACCATATTCTCGTGGAAAAGTAGAAAGAACAGGTGGATATTCCAAAAGAAAGTCCATGTTTTTGGTTCAAAATATCATTAATCCATCCAATGGTAATTATGCCCCTTGAATGAATGCAAGCCACATGTTTGACATATGTCAAACCAATTAATTTGGTTTAGAAATCAAGCCATTCAATAATATATTTGCATTTGACCATAGTATTGGGATTTGGGATTCTTATACAAAACCAATTTGGTTTGCGGAATTACCAAAACTCTCAATCACAGTCACCCATTTTCTTAATATGAAGTTACAAACACAGTTCTTATCACTAATTAAGACTGTTTGGTTTGAAAGAAAAAGTAGAAAAAGGAAAGGAAAGGTAGGAAACCATACAATGTACGTGCTCCATCCTTGGTGACTCAGCTCTCTCTCTCTGGGAACCAACAATGGTTTAATTTAAGCTTAGTAGCCCACTTTTGTGCCTTACTTGTCAGTTATAAGCCACATGATACATGTCTGAGATTTAAAAGTTGAAGCAAGAAAAGAAATTGAATACAATATCTTTGCCTCTCAAACATGTCATGGCTTAGCTAGCTCACCTGCTTAATTACTCCAAACAAGTGAAGAACCACCACATGAGCGTAGATTACAAAGCCATATATTCATATAAAATATTGGCTCTATGTATAAGACAAAGGCATCCTCTCACTCAAAAGTCAAAAGAGAAATCCCATCTCCCAGTAAAACAGGTGTGTGTTCATGTCTCAACATTGCAGGGGCGACATGATGAGGAAGAAGAGGAAAAGTCGATGGCTTCTCCCATCTCAGAACCCCTCAACAACTTCTCCAAGTATTCTGAGCCCAAATCCTGGAGCTCCACGACTGAACTACCTTCTGATTCCGATTGATCATCCGTTGATACCCCACTGCAACTACCAACAGTGCTGGAGGAGGACTCCTTACCCAGGCTGGAAGTAGGCTTGAATCTGCTGCCACTGGAAGCTGCAACCACAACTTCAGCAGGAAAATTGAGGAGCGCCTTGGCACCCCGCATCCGGAATGCAGCCCTGTCGTAAGCTAAAGCTGCCTCTTCTGCTGTGTCGAATGTGCCAAGCCAAACACGAGCTCCATGTCGGGATGAATCTCTGATCTCAGCTGCGAATTTCCCCCACGGACGGCGCCTCACACCTCTATAATGCTTCTTGCCGATATGCCCAGTTGGTTCCATGCCGTTTTGGCTCTGAATTTTGTCTCTGGCGGGTGACCATGAGTTGCCGATGGCCATGGCCTCGTTTAGGACTTCGTATAGGACCATGTCTTGGGAGTCATTCTCGTTGAGAGGTAGCTCACTCTCTAGGAACGCAGCGTTGCTTAATGAAGGAACCATGGCTCTACCTCTACTGCTCTTCTGGAAGTGGAGCTTGTGGGTGGTGTTGGTGCTTGTAGATGATGTTTGAAGAGAGATAGTGCAAATGGTCCTATTTGTATAGAGAGACTTTTACGGAGGTTGGGGTGGAGGGGGTAGAGAAAACGAAGGTGGGAGGAATCAGCGGTGGAAAAGGCTATCATTTTCTACTTTCTGGATTTTCTTTTTTCATTTGTTCTTTCTTTCTTTCTTTATTTTATTATTATTATTATTTTTTTTGGTGGGGGTGGGGGGGAGGTGTCTTTGTGGATTGATGCAAACAATTACCCCTTTGTTCCGTAAGATATTACGAATAATTTACCCTCTCATTTTTAGGGGGTGTGGGTTGATTAATATAAATTTTTATGAGAAATATTTTTATACCTTAAATCTTATAAATTGATCAATACAAATTACTATTTTATCTAAAACGTCAAATTTGATGTTTCTTATACATGCACTTTTCTTAATTGAAATGACACTCGTAATGGTAACTAGTATTTTGCCACATCAGCAAAAATCCTCATCCTATTTTAGGAGACTATGACCAAAACCCTCTTCCGATTTTGGGAGGATTTCAGTTTTGATTTAGCTACTCTCACGGAGTCATTTTGAAGAAGCTTAAAAGACTAGTTTTACTAGAAAACCAATTTCTTAGCTAAACGAAAGCAAATTGGGGCTTTCTATGTGTGTTTGTGGCTGCCGGGATAAGGGCACTTTGCAAAGCTAGAAGCCAGTACATGAAAACCTTCCCAAGTCCCAATCATTTAATGCCCGTTTTGAAGGGCATATAATGGCTTCTCGCATTATCTGAGCTAACGAACTAGGAATGCCATGAAGCTTTGTCTGATTAAAACATGAAAAGTCAAAAATAGGTTTACAAGAGCTGCAAATTTGACTTTTCAATAAAGTCAAAGTTCAAAATATTAATACACCCCGTCCCCCCTAATGGAAGGGATGTATTAATAATTTGAACCTTCCATTTTATATTATCTTAATATTTTTCTTCAAAACTTAAAAGGAGGCCTGGAAATAATATTTATTAACATTAAAACAAACCTTTTTTAAAAAGCCCTAAAAACAACATATCAATACCCTGTGGATATTCTATATGGACTGATATGTTGCGGAATTTTGATTTCAATGAACATTTTAGTTAAAAAAAAAATCCTTCAGCTTATTTACAAAAAGGGTGATGCGGTAGTTATAAGCAATTTCAAGGGTAGCATATTATTTATCCCCTTGTACTCATCATATTCGTGAGCCCTGATGGCGTGAGTGGGTGACGTCATTGATAAGAGCTTTCTTGGCGGTAACGGCATATATAGACCCCAATGCGGGGAGCCTTCCTTGCTCCCTCCTCGGTCGTTGATTCTGACTCATTGTGGGACCCGAACGAAATCCAGTCTCCATCTTGACTTTTCAACCATTTTGATGAAAATAGGAAGTAATTCCACGAAAAAGACAACTCCACTTACAGCCACCGTATTGGAATAAGCTTTGGATTGTAGTCAGAGGCGGTCTGACGTGAAGCCAATCCATTATTATTCAAAAAAAGATAGATATGGCTAATCTTTAAAATTTATCCAATATAAAAATATAATTTTTTGGTAAGATATAAAATATAAATTGAAAGCGAGATTTTTTGCTTTTGGGTCCGGATTCATTAGTATGGAGAATGGGAGAGAAAGATGGTCAAAAATGAAGACCCCCTCGTGTAATTTAAAAGATGTATGATATCACGTGTATAGAAAGGAGAAAAGTACAGAAGAAAGAGAAGAAGAAGAAGAAAAAAGATATTGTATCCTATGAATGTAAAAATAGTGTAAAATATCTTTTGTACAGGGAAAAGGAGATGGATCTGCTTCCATTAGAAAGAACGTTAACGTGCTGATAGTATGGCATTAGAACATCTCCTGTATGTTACATTATGAGGAGATATGAGTAGGATCTATTTCCAATAAATGGTCCCATCAAGCCTTTACAGCCACACATTGGGACTATCCCGTTTGCCATTCATATCGAGATATTCCCAATGGATGATTGCAGTGACTTGTTGAGGATGTTATTGGGATGATTGTTGAGAACAGACTCAGCTTGAAAGATATTCTTGATGTGCGATTAGATGTCATGCTGTTAGCATGTTAATCACATCTTATGTTGGCAGTAGATCCTGCTGTCCGAAAGGACTGTGATGTGGCAAAAGGTTTTGAGTTTATGTCCCCTCTGCATCTCTAAGAGTTGGTCCCAATTTGAGTATTTTATTGATTGAAAAGTACGTTTGAAAATGAACTCCAAAATCCAAATTGGCATCTACTGACTAAACACAATTCGATTATTTAAGGGACTGAAAAGAGGGTTGGAACTTTGAAAAAAGTTTGATGCCTAAGCCTAGAAGAAATATTAATAAATTTATTATCTTGATGTGGGGTCAGGATTTTTGGAGTTTTGTGCACGTGGGGTTCACAATCTTCTTAGGACCTTAGCCATTTGGTTAGGTCCAGGACCATCTTTTTCTATAAGATCAAAACCGATTAATTATATGTTTGGTTTTGTTTATATTTATTGAGTAAACGGTACAAGCGCAGTAAAGCCTCATTAATTGTATTCATATGTATATGTATGATGTTTGCAAAAGTAAGTATGAATTTATGTACATCTCTCCTATTTAGGAAATTTCATTTTGGAGCTTCTTGAAAAATAGGCATTTAAGAGTTTTTTGACATTTTGCTGATGTAGTGTGAAATGACGCCTATATATCATAAATACATACATTAATAGTTTTTTTCGGTTTTACAGCTACACAAGTACAAAAGGTGTATTCAATAAACATAAACAGAACCAAACTCTCTCTAAAATGTTTATGATTTCATTCGATGGTTTGAATTGAATGGTCTGGCCAATTGTTGGAATGAGATAAATGGCATTCTGATGTTGAGAAAATTCTAAAGCTTTTGCCTAATAAAATAAGATGCTGAATAATATTTCACCATTTCATATTGTTTAATATCGTATCCACTGTTAAATTATAATTGCAAATGCTTAAATCATTGTTTACTATTTTAATTAATTTTTTTTTCTCGACTAGTGTAACCCCTTCAACTTGTGACAGAGCATGTCTTCTTACAGATGTCGTAGATCATCTTCTAGCTTCTTTTAGGTTATAATATTAAATGCGATATTTAATTTATTTCCAACACAAAAGTTGTGAAGATGACAATTATTTTTTCAAAGTGCAAATTCATTGAGAAATTAAAATCAACATAAAAACATCTATTGCCATATGAAGGAGATACTCTCTTTTGGGAGAAAACAATGTCACAAACTCACAATCAGAAAATAAATATAAAATAGGGGTTTGACTATGATACCAAAAAGATATGATATCGAAAAAATTTACAGCCAATTAACCGATATCATAAAAGAGGTTATCAATCCGGTGGGTTTCATCATAATTCAGAGTGTCTTTTAATTGATCAAAACTCTTCCTGTATTATAGATTTTCTCATAAAATAAACATCTTAGGGGTTGTTCCATAATAATATAGCTTGCATGGAAATTGTATTTGTTTTTGAAAACAAAACTAATCATATTGTCGAATAATCCCAGGCTCAGTTTGAAAGGTGTACAAATACAAATATATAGAGTGCAAAATCATATATTTTATATGTATTTATACTGTATATATTTATATTTATATTCCTTCCAAACTGAGCCTCATATGTTCCCTTTCCACTTCTAATATCACAAGCATCACAAGCAATTGCACGTGCCTTAGCAGTTGTATTGCTAAATTTGATGAACAAGATTATCCTTTGGAAATCAACATTCAACTGAGTCAATTGACAATTTAGAGAGAGAGAGGACAATAAATGGACTAAAATGACCAAATATCTGGAGCATTTAGACCGAGTTCTTTTATATTTTATGGACATTAAATTATGTTTTATTTATCATTGAACAACCTACGTTATCTAGAAGAACCCAAAACCAATGAAATGTTTTAAAAGACTTATGATAGATTTTTTTTTATTTGTTTCAGGAATCTTAAACTACATATATTTGATTTGTTTTTGAACGATTTGAGCTAACTTTCTGGCTTGAATCAGGAAACAGAAAATTTTGAGAGTTGGAATGGAACCCACGCCATTCTTCAAAATACTTAGTTATCTAGAAGAACCCAAAACCAATGAAATCTTCACAAAGGATTTCCAGACCTAACTTGATGTGGATCTCATTCTTCTAGATAAAGTGTGTTATTTAATTATAGTTTATAAACCAAACCCAATTGGTTTTCTAATCAAATAAAAGCGCAAGCTAATTGCTACCCATCCCAATCAAAATACTTAGTTATCAAAATAAAAAATTAAAAAAAAAACAAACAAAAATACTTATATATAGTTGTCAGCCTAGAAAACACACACACCTTTTGTACCAAAAAAATGCTAGAGCACATCTCAACTTTCAATGACGCTAAGATACAATATAACGAGGCATCGAGGCCTACATATAAGCGTTTATTAGTATGGTCATCCCAACCTAAAATAAGTGTTTTTTTTCACTAAGTACTTAAAAATACCGAAACGGAACCTTAACCCTGTATGAGGGCGTTTCATGAACCCGGATTGAGTTTGGATCATGGTTTTTAAAACCGATCCGAAGATCGAATCAGTCAAGGTCTAGTTATCAGGTTGTACGGTCTGCCTGTTCAAACCAAATATTCAGCCTGTTTTAACAAAAAAATTTAAAAAAATTAAAAATAAAAAACGATTTGAACGGTTAAATGATTAACCACCTGATTCAATGATTCGCTGACCAAAATTAACAATTTTAAGGAAAAATCCAGTTTTTAAAGAAAACGAAACTAATCACCTAACTGATTCCCATTTTTTCTCATCTGACCATCCAGTCCGATCCGATTTTGAAAACTATGATTTGGATGTCCCTTTCAAACTCAATGTAACGTACAGGGGAAAAGTTAGAAATATTTTTTTGAGGGACAAAAAAAAAAGGAAATGAGCATAGGTGGAGGAATGAATGAATGTGATAGCCTAGAAGCCTATAGTCTCCGATTCATAGTTTCATGAGGTGGGGGTCCCATACATGACCACTCCTGA